TCTTTCTTGCCTATAGCATAAGCCTCTCTGGAAAAGAAAGGAAGTTTAATGAAGTCTGCTTTGTTTACAAAAAGGCAGGAGAGAACTTTAATATACTGATAAAGTTCCAAACACACACACACACAAACACACACACATTCGTGTCTAACAGGAGACGGTGAAATTGACAAGACTGGGTACACAGCGGATTAAACCGTAAAAGAATAACACTCACTGTGATGAGTAAAAACCTTAATGCAGGGGGGGTCGAATCTGACATAAAAGAGACCTTGTTGGGCCGGGCCATGTGTGTCATAAAATGTAGTGCCAGGTAGCGGAGATATAAACTTTATAAAGGACACACACCAAGGGTTTTTTTTTACTTAAAATAAAAACATGCTTAAAACATTAGCGTTCTTGCAATATTTTGTTTATTTAACAGTGTCTGATAACTGATATCTCTTGCTCTGAATTCTTGCATCAAAATGTCTGTGCTGTTGCAATCTTGAGTATACTGTTCAGGAGTGTGTATCTGTAAGCTGCAAACCTACGATGACGCAGCAGAAGTGGAAGAAGAAGCAGAAGACAGCCAGTTCCACTGCGGGCCTGATAGAAGCCCTCTGGGGGCCTGATTTGGCCCCCGGGCTGCATGTTTGACACCCCTGCTTTAATGTATTCTGCCCAAAGTTATACATGTATCCAATACACATAGTGCATTAACAATCCTAATTTCCCAGATTTTCACCATATATCTGAGGATCTTGCAACGATATAACTTATTTTCTAACTGTAATCCTTGACAGCAATAAATATATATGGGGTATCTTTACTATTCAGTATTCTAATACACTGTGGTTACTCTCTATTAAATTGTATAGTCTTTTTGAGAATGAATTCTCACTAACAATAAATTCTGAGATGTAATACTTCAACGTGCCACAGCTGTGTACAGCTGTTATCACCGACGAGGATTTCAGTCAGAAAATTATATAGTTGCAAGATCCTCAGACATATGGTGAAAATCTGGAAAATTAGAATTTTGAATGCAATATATGTATTGGGTATAACTTTTGGCAGAATTCATTAAGGTTTTTACTCATCACGGTAACATGAGACGATAGCTTGGAACTGTGTCTCCAGCAACCTGGCCCAAATCCATTAACAAGTTCAGTTTCGAATGTCAGTCCTTGCCCTTTTTCAGATGGGCTTTTACGAACGCTTCCATTAAGCAAAGGAAACGGATTCAGACGGGTGCCACTCAGTGATCCCTCTAAGTTGAGTTAGTGTGAGCTAGCTCACAGTTTTTTAGCCTCTGGCTCGCACATCTTTGTGTCTTAGCTCAGGAAGGGAGGGCTCCAGAGCAAACTAATTTATGCAGTAGCCAAATGGCTCGCTCACAACTTTAATGCCAGTAGCTCAGAGAGTAGAATTTTTGCTCACGAGACTCCACAGCTTAGAGGGAATATTGGTGCCACTGTTTTGGGGACTGCCGAAATTCTAAAGACAGTCAAGGTTGAAAAGGCAGGCCTAAGAACACCAGGAAAATCTTCTGGACCAGACACCAGTGAGGGTCCATCTAGTCTAGCCTCCTGTCTCACACCGTGGCAAACCTGTTACCTGGCAGAGCCAACAAACAGGCCATGGGGCCTGGTGTCCTCCTGATACTGCTGCCTGGCACTGGATGTTTCGGGGCCGACGGCCTCTGGATATGGAAGCCCCTTTTACTCGTTGTGGCTACTCGCCAACACGGACCTGTCCGGCCCCCTTTTAAAACTGCCTGCGCTCACGGCCCCTCACTACTTCCCAGGCAGTGAAACACTCCAATTGATCACATGCTGGGTGAAGAAGTGCTTCCTTTGTCTCTCCTGTACCCATCACCCCAGCCACTTCATTGGGTGCTCTTGCCCCCCCCCCCCAGTCCAAGCTTTCTGGGAGGGGGAGGGAATGCTCCTCTTCGTCAGACCCCCAACCTTCAGGGCTCCGGGCGAGATCACCCTTTTTGCCTCCACAAGGACGGGGAACACTCACGCGTCGATCGTCGGGATGGCGTATTTCCCCGTGTTGGTCAGCATGGCGCCCTTGGTGGTCGGGTCCTGCACCTCCATCATGAAGCTCCGAGGGATCCCCGTGCTCTTTTTGATCCTGGGGACAGACTCAAAGCTCTTGTCCTGCGGAAGCAAGAGAACCCCAAAATCACTCAACTCTTCTCAATCATCCCGCTAAGAGACTATTTCTACAGCTCCTCTAAGCGACGCCCAATTTTAGGGTGTTTTTCCCCCCTTTTCCCCTTGCACATTCAAAGAGCATCGCTTGGGGTCCCGTTTGAATACAAAAACGACTTCGTGCCCCTGACACCCTTTGCAACTCTGTTTAAAAGGGCCATTGGAGTCAGTCACCTCTTGTGGCTGGGGGAAACGGAAAACACGGCTGGGCTCTCTCGGCTCTTGGAATGCAACTGCCGAGAGTGACAATGAGGCCAGCTACCATTAAAGCTCCCCTCCTCTCCAGGTGCACCACTAATCCTTGCAGTCACCAGGCCCTAGATTAACACTCAGCAATGGTCATCCCTAGCAGCCCCTTCTTCCCATAGCTGGCCAAATGGGTCAGCCGCCCTCCACTCCTCTGGAGGAGACTAAAGATATTTAGGCACTTGTGAAACAAACAGTCCCCTTCCATCCTACCCAAAGAAGAAGAGAAGGTTTGATTTATAACCCGCCCTTCACTACCCAAAGGAGTCTCAGAGCGGCTTACAACCCCTTTCCCTTCCCCTCCCCACAACAGACACCCTGTCAGCAGTGTTCCCTCTAAGCTGAGTTAGTGTGAGCTAGCTCAGTTTTTTAGCCTCCGGCTCACACATTTTTGTCTTAGCTCAGGGAGGATGGCTCCCAGAGCAAACTAATTTATGCAGCAGACAAATTGCTCGCTCACAACTTTAATGTCAATAGCTCACAAAGTAGAATTTCTGCTCACAAGACTCCACAGCATGGAGGGAACATTGCTCAGGTAGGTGGGGCTGAGACAGCTCTTTCACGGACTACTTCTGAAAGAACAGCTCTGAGAGAACTTGTGACTGACCCAAGGTCACACCAGCAGCTGCACATGGAGGAGAGGTAAATCAAACCCGGTTCTCCCAGATTAGAGTCCGCTGCTCTTAACCACTACACCGAACCCAAGAAGTCAAGGAAGGCAACTTTGCCACTCTCACTAGCTGCCGCCCTTCAGGAAGACAGCTAGAAGTCAAGAGGCACAGACTACTCTGACAGGCAAGCTACACAACGCCAGAGTCCCACTCCAGCACCTTACCCCATTGGTTGGGCAGTTCTTTATATAGTGGCCAGGTTTCCCACAGCGGAAGCAAGTATAGGTGGGTGGAGGCGGACCCAGAGGCTTCTTCATGTAACTGAAAAGGGTGCAAGGAGAGAAGCGTGTGCCTTTATCATTTGCTCTTGGGAGTTTTTCTTAATAAGAAAAAAAAAGCATGAAAACACATCTGTAAATCGATCCTTATGTTTTGGCGTGTGAAAGGAAGGACAACTTACTTGATTGGATCATATTCGTGGCCAGACTGTGACATCATAGCTTTAATTTTATCCTCCTCGGAAGCATTGGCTTCAGCCAGATTGGCGGTCTGTTCAATAGGCAATCATGTGACACACACATTAGAAACACATTTAAGTCCACCCAGTCAAAGACAAACACCGCTCATCCAATCCTGTAAAGAGCAGCACAAAAGCTAACTGAGGTTGCCTCAAAAAAAAACAGCTCGTTAATATATCAGATTGTCCTGAAGATGTTCCAGGGAGTCCTTATGCCATTACATGATGTTTGTGTGCCTAAGTTGTAAAGTGTGTGTGTGGGTGGGGGGGGGGGGGGGAGAAACACCTTTGCTAGGGCATGCTAGCCCTTAGGCTCAGTTTGTACCTTCGGTGAAGGCCTGTGTAACGGCTCCAGTTCCCTGTGGCAAATTACGTGGTCTGGAGTCAAATGTTTTACATGATTTGCCTTCTGCAGTACCTTCAGGTTAAAAGCCCCTGAAAAGTTAAGGCTCCGTGTTCTGCGCAGAAGTGATGCGGTCCGCTACTGCCTCTGTTTGAAAGACAGTGAGATGTACTCTTTGTGCTTCGAGGGCAGAGTCATCCTGAAAAGTGAAGCCTGTGAAACTCTGCCACTTTTAAGAACTTGGGAAATGAGTTCTCGCTCGCCTTTCAGATGCCTCTATAAAGAGAAAGCACGGAGGACCAGCTAGAGTGGCACAACCAATCCACATTTTGCTAAACAGAAGAGGAGGCGGCACCCAGTGTTTTGGGCATGCAGTTTTCAGGATGACTGCCCATTTGAGATGCAGGTGTGATCCTCCTGTGTGGAGCTAACTGTTCCAGAACTCTGGCACCTGCTGAGCTAGTCCATTATCTACTAGCACAGATACAAGCAGGGTCTAAGGGGCTGGGGTCCTAACTCCTCGGAGATTCAAGCACCTAACATTCAGATCAGCCACACAGGTAACTTATACATTCATCCACAAAAGCAACCAGCTAGTTTCAACATTTTATTAAACAGTTGGTTGAAATACATCATTTTTTTTTTCTTAACAATCCAGATCGAACAACTATGAAAGAAAATCATTCACATTTACACAACGCTAATTTTACAAATAATGTTGCTAATTTGTTTGAACCCAAACAGGTTTTACAGAGCACATCCAATAGCACAAAACATTAGTAGGAATAGACCAAAATTCAAATATGGCATTTAAAATACACAATCGGAGTAAAACAGAAAACTGTTAAAGACGTCGCCTCTATGCAAAGGCATTCTGCATTGAAGAGGTTAAAGTGAGTAACAGTTTTGAACTGCTTTATATGACAAGGAGTCTCCATGTGTCAGAAATACTTAGGTTATCTCTAAAAACTGTACACCCCTCTGACATTTCTTTTTTTCACATCTCAAGAAAAATAAAGTTGACATGAGCTTACAGAACTGAGGACAAATTTAAGGACAGCACTAATGGAAACCAAACTTTAGGTAAAACTGTGGTTGACAGATTCCATACTTGCCAGGTGCGTGTCAAATTTCTCGACTTAGCTAGAAAAATCAGGGCTCTCTTTAAAAAACAAAAAACAAACCAACCCTCCCCGTCTTTATTCACACACCAAAGTAGTACTGGGGGTCAGGACTGCTCCTAATGATGTGGATGTTTAACAAGCAGCTGTTTTAGGTGGATGACAAGAGTTATCACTAGTGCTTTCCCCGACAAAAGTTACACATTATTGAGCAGAAAAAGGTAAGCAGTTTCATAGCAAAAACATGGCATATACAACAGTTTCAAAAGGTCACATGTGCCCATATGCCACACACTCACAGACATTGGTATATTCCTATAAACAGTCATATACATTTACACAGTCTGTGTTCAAACAAATTAGTTGCATAGCTGTTGCCCACTGCATATGCTACAAGGGTACAACTTATCAAATTATTATTATCCGCGAAATTATTATTATTGCTCTACTACGGGCTTTGAGTGCAGACGCCACCAACCACCATGCCAAGTGTCCATGTGACAGGGAAAATACTTCTATTTTGGCTGTTGCACCGAAAGAAATCCTAGGAGTCCATAAAATAGCCAAAATATTACAATTCTTCTTTAAAATTGTGTTATTTTTCCACAGCAAAATTAACGGAATGTATGAAAAACGATAACACAGCTTCAGAAGTGCTTCTTCTTTGTGTCTTGAGGATGAACACAACTGCAACATTATGTTGAGGCTGATAAGGGACTCCCCTTCTATCTCCCCATACTGGGAACTACTCTTTACAGGATAGTTTGCAATAAATACACACAATCGGCAATGTTTCGGTTCAGTACTTTTGCACGCAAAATAAATAATCATGTTCCGCACCAATGACAAAAGGTAAACCAGATACCGATCACAGCATTAAAAAAAACTTTAAAAATGCCAAGCAAGCAACGATTCAATTGGCTATTATTTGACAAGAATATATATGTATATATACCTTTGTAAGCTGGGCCAGAGAAATAGATGCAGAAGAGTCATCAATCTGTTCATAAAAAATTAAACACACATTCAAGTTCCACAATCAAAACACAGCAACATATTCAGCTCTACTGAGGCTTTAACATTTAGCTTGGGTTTTATGCTCTACAGAGAGGCATTTTTCAGAGTACTGCACCTCTCTGGACAAAAGACACCTGTGGTGGTTCAGAGCACTGAGAGACAGAGTATTTAGTTCTACGTACAAAAAGCTAGAAAACCCAATTCACTCAATGGAGTCAACTCACTGTGATTTTACATTCAGTGACCAGCATAACTAGCTGGTTTTTTAAAAATTAAACTGCTTAAAAAGTAAATGTAAAGGTTCCCTTGCTCGAAAGCCAGTTGAATCCGACTCTAGGGTTGCAGTGCTCATCTCCGTTTCAAAGCCGAAGAGCCAGCGCTGTCCAAAGACATTTCCGTGGTCATGTGGCCGGCATGACTAAACACCAAGGCACACGGAACGCTGTTACCTTCCCACTGAAGTGGTACCTATTGATCTACTTGCAATTTCTTGCTTTCGAACTGCTAGGTTGGCAGGAGCTGGAACTAGAGACGGGTGCTCACTCGGCTCTCGAACTGCTGAACTACCGACCTTCCACAGCCTGCAGTTCAGAGTCTTAACCACTTGAGCCAACTTGAGTAAACTGCTTACTTAACGGAGAAAACCCTTTATTCTTTTCGTATAAGGCACTCTGAGAAGATTTCTCAAAATATTTACACCAAACATAGGAAAGCGTCTTTCCATAAGCAAACATTTTCTTTGATTTAGAACAATGTTGGGAAATTTCAGCAAACTGTAGGCTTTGGAAAACGGTAAACAAGGTTCTGAAAATAAATGTAAAGATGCTGATTTCTGTGACCAGAAATACAGGAAAACTTTGACATTATGTGTGGAGAATGAAATATTTGCATTTCTTCAGACTGATGTCTTTAAGGGAACTGAGCAATGGACTCGATAAAAATAACTATTGTGGGATTTATGATCTCGAAGACTTGATCACGCCTAAAGTAGGACTAGACCCTTTTCTAATTCCTAGAGGCTACCCAAATGGGTTTTTTTAGGGGGTGGAAGAATATTTTTCAGCCAAGGCTACACTGCAGGTTTAATCTAGTTCAATAACGTGGACCTGTCCTAGCAAGTCATTGGATGAACTGCAGTTTCGTGACAGTCTAAAGAAGCTTTCATGAAACCTGGAATCTCTAGGATTCCTTTGGCAACGGCCCGATAGCCAAGCTGGACTGACTGACGGGGCAGGTTACACCATGCCTTCCGCTGTCTTCAGGGCTGACTCTTGAATCAGCAGAGACAGAAGACAACTGTGGGGCAAGTCAAAGATCCCCCGTCTCAGAATCAAACCCACTAACAAAGATTCCTCAGAAAAGCAGACATTTTGTTCCCGTGGTATAACATCTTTGGGGGGGGGGGGGAGGCACCAGCACTGGGCCCTAGCCGCTCCCAAGCCTGGCCTCATCTTTTCAGAAGCTGGCCTCAGGAAGCAACTCCCCAACTAGGTTTTAAGACCACAAGTTGTACCCCGACAGGGACTGATCGCATGGAAAACTATCAGCAGCAATGATGCAGACCACGAGCTTTCCGGGGGCTTTCAGGTGCACAGCTACCAAACAAGGCCTGAGAATAAGAAAAACGGACTGATGTTTAGGCTGAGAAACAAAAAGACGGCCTCTCTGCTGTAATGTAAAGACGTGATTGAAACCCATACTCCCATTCTGTTCTCCCTACAGAGTTTTGCTTGTGGTGCTCGGGACTAGCGGGAAAGCCTGTCTGCGGGAAAGATACCAGGCCTCTGCGGATTGAGAGAGCCGGACAGAGCCGAGGTGGCCTCTGCCGGGCTGAGGGAGGAGGAGCGGCTCCTCTCCCCGGCCACCCAGGTCAGCAGAAACAAGGTTTACGCTTATTCGAGTGGCATCCCTGAGCGCAGCCCCTGTAACTTCCCCCACATGAATGAACGAACAACTGCAATGCAGAGGCTGGTGGGAAAACCGGGGGACAGCCCCGTGGCAAAGAAGACAGGCTGCCAGCCCCTACTAAGCAGAAGCCGTACCCATCGCCCATCGCCCGAGCACCTGCAGGGGAGACGCTCTCCCCTCCGTGCGTATCCACCCATGGCAAAGAGGGCTATTCCACGAGAACTGGGCAGCCAGTCTTTCTTGCCAGACGGCCAACCCACGCCTCCCCCCATCTGACACCTAAGACGGTGGCTGCGTCATTCCTGGCAAGTCTCATGGGGAGCAAAGTGAGCCCCAGGTAGCTGCCAGCCCCTCAGGGACTTGCTTCAAAATCCCGTCCTGTGTGCTGAGCAAGACGGGCACCCAGGTGTGCCACTGTCTGGCATGTGTGCCAGGGGTTACCTGCACAAAAAGGGGGTTTTTTTGGGGGAGGCGTCCCTCATTATCTCATCACATGGAAGCATTTCAGGGGGAAACCAAGCTAGAATGTGTCCAGTACTTTCTCAAGGCAAACCTGAGAGACCCCCCCACTCCCTGCAACTTAAGTCTTTCTTAACTGTACACAGATACTTTATTGGGGGTTTTTGTTGTTGTTAAGAGCCAGGCAGTCGTTTGAGAAAACACGTTAAGAATGTAAAAAATATATATCAATAAATCAAAAGAGCCTTTTCCCGAAAGGAGACTGTATGTTTGATGTCAAAGGTCACTCCTTTTTATGTGTGGCAAGGACCGCTCAGCTGCCGCTTCGAGTTAAAGATGGGCCCAGCGGTCCCGTCTTCTCCTGCTACAATTACAAGCAAGCACCTACAAGCTTCCTTTAAAAAGGGGGAGGGGGCGGTTATCACTGACATCCTGGGAGGCCTCTGGCCTGCTACTTTAGACCCTTCTGTTCAATTTTTGCTGGCTGGCCTTTGAACATTTCTGCTTCTTCCGAGATTCCTGCTAGACCCTAATCCGGGCACCTCAACCATCACCTACTCATCCACACGTCCCCAGTTCTGCAAAAAGCTAGAGGGAATCAGCTTTGAATTTCTAGCAGCCTTGAGTATTAGGCCACTGGGGTCCCCCCACCCAGGAGTGGCTCAAGAGACTCGACTGTGGGGGGAGATGCTTGCATCCGTGTGCCACACGTGCTTCCGAGTGGACAGACCGGAGGGGAAACCACCCTTGCCTCTACAGTATTGCCTGCAGAAAAGAGACATCTAGCCAGCCCGCGTTTAAGGGGTCTGCATGTGTGGCACAGGGATACTGCACTGGGAGCTCTTCCCTTGGGAATTGCACACCAGGAGCGGGAACTGTCCAAGGACCTGAATAACTCCCTGGGAAGTGAATTTCCACATTCCAGTCCCTGAGCTTTTAAGCTACCCCTACCTGTCACTTCACGTCTGGGCAAGGAAGGTTTAGCTTCAGGCCCAAAGCAGAGGAGCGCGGCTATCGCTGTGGCTGAGCAGTGTCCGAACAAGGGGCTCCAGATCACAGGAGAAGAGTGGGAGTCAAGCCAAACCAAGACGGGGGTGGGGCTTAGTAGCCAGCCAACACCGGGGGCTCATATCCAGCTCTTCCCCTCTCCTTTATGTGCTTGAGGACCTCCTCCTTCCACTCTGCCCTGGACTGTGAAACAGGCAAGAACAGCATGAGTCTCTCAAAGGAAGCATCAACAGGGACCAGCACGGGAGCGCACAGACTTTGCCTGCTTCACAGCTCAGAGCAACACGATTCACAAGAGAGTGGAGGAAAGGGGATCTGTGCATTGCTGGGCATCCAGCGTTGCCAGAGTGCTAGGGATCTACCGACAATGCTAGTTGTCTCTGTGGGATCCAGGAATCCTCACAGAAAGATGTCGCTCACTGGGTAATGAAGAGAACAGGGCTTGCCCCAAACCACAGAAATGCTATTCCAAGGAAATGGAGATCTTCTACAGTTGCACCCAAAAGGTGTGGAACCGGCGGATCTCCTTAAACTATATGACCGGAGGACTCTGCAGGATTCTAGCATTTCCTTCAGAGAGCAACTAACACAACTTGGTCTCGGGCTTCCAGAGACCGATAGCTTGTGATCTTAGTGTCTTTTGGTCTCCCCACCCCCCACCCCGCCAACCAGGAAGAAGAGAAGAGATTGGATTTATACCCCGCCCTTCACTACCCAAAGGAGTCTCAGAGCGGCTTACAAACTCCTTTCCCTTCCACAACAGACACCCTGTGAGGTAGGTAGGGCTGACAGAGCTCTGACAGAAACTGCTCTTTTTCAAGAACAGCTGTGCCAGAACTATGGCTTGCCCAAGATCATCCAGCAGGTGCAAGTGGAGGAGGCCGTGGGGAATCAAACCTGGTTCTCCCAGGTTAGAGTCCGCGCACTTAACCACTACACCAAACTGAATTTCCTACAGCAACCAGAGGCTTCACGTGCCCAAACGGAAGAGAAAGAATTTTCTTCTGTTTCTCAGTTGACGTGGGATTCTGGGTGAGTCAGCGTTAACAGAGTTTACTTCGTGGCTTAACTTCCAGCTAAGCGGCGTCTCCTAGCTTTAAAGCGGGTTTGAAACAGCCCCCAGCAGCTCCTTGAAACAGGTCGGAGTTGCCTCCAGACGATGCAACAAGCCCTTTCCTCCCCCTGAGCATAAATCACCGTGTCGCTGACACAGGGCAGTGGGCGGGGCAAGTCAAGGTCTTTGTGGCCTACTTTAGAGGAACAGTTTTAAAGAGAAGAGTTGATCACTACGAAACAGCTACTCAAATGTACAAGAGACATGCCAGGGAAACACACAGTTCTAAATTAATGTTAAACTTTATTTGTGAACACTGCGTTTGTGCTTATACACACACTATAAAAGAGGATTACTCATAAGATTAAAAAAAATTAGATCAGAGTGTTGTTTACACAATTGCATTACATTAACTAGTGAGTTAACGGGGTGACTGTAATCCGTCTTGAGAGACACATACGACTAAGGAGATCTATCAGTTCAGCATTTCTTAAGGCCACAATGAAGGGTGCACATTTTTCACCTTAACAACATTGTCACTGGTCACAAAGGTCACCCAGTGCTTTTAAACGCTAGGACACTACTTGTTCCGTTCACGGAAATGAGTAAACAAGCTGCACTTAAGCAAACAGGACTCACCAAGTGGCACTTCTAAATAGGACTAAGGGCTCGTTTGTGGTATTTTAACAGACAATAATCATTCAAAGCAGAAAGTTAAGATAAAGTGCGAATAAGTTATTACAAACTGAAAATAAGCAACCTGGAGTGAAAAACAGCACTCTTCCTGTTCAACTGTACATAAACGGTGTCTAACAGAAGGATTTGCTAAGATCATTCTGCTCAAGAAGCTATCCAGGGACCAAATAAAATGAAGGAATCGGACCAGTGGGGAGTTATTCTCAACTGGATTTGTTGTTTCTCAAGTGCAGGAAGGACAAAAGGCTGGGAAATGCATGTTGCGTATGTCGTATGTTGGTTACAGTGACCTACAGCTTAAACAATGCGTTTGCTGACAGAAAAAATGGAAGCAAACGCAGGAATAGAAGTTCTTGTTCTAGAGGACAGTCTCATGGAAATCATTTATTCATTCCAGTTTACAGCCCTTGATGTTTTCACACACTTCTGAACCAGATGTCAATAGAAAAACACTTAAGTTTAAGCAATAAGGTGGCTTTCGATAATGCTTTCAAAAACCATTCAGGGAAGTGCTAAAAACAAAGGCTATGTGGTACATTGCAATAGCGGCAAAAAAAGATAACACTCCATTTTTTTTTTATTTCAAGAAAACAAAAAGCACACAACAACCTATACAAACATACAGCTACTAACTAGAGACACACAGATGTAGAACAAGGCATTGCAGTCAGCAGCGCAAACCTTAGAACTTACATGATCTGTAAATGATCATACATGATCTGTACAACACAGAGTCATACAGGAAATAATCTAGCATTCAATATGCAATACAGTTGTGTCACTTGGCACAAGTGTCAATATTCACATTAATGTTATCTGCATTGCTGATTTTACTAGACTGAAACAAAATACATTGTATTTTACAAAATAAGTGGATTTCTGCAGGAAATCAAGGTGAATTAATACTTAGAAAGGTAGTTTATTGCTTTGTTATTGCTTTAAATTAAGTAGAATGTGTAGAGGGGAAAAAAGTGTGAGATTGTGTTTTTACATACTGCTTTTGAAGTTCCACTCACGGGATCAGTTCGACTTCTAAAAAGGGAAAATAAAGGTCGTCAGAAAAACAGCAACTGCACGGTGCACAAAATAGAGAAAGCCGCCACCGTGAAAACAGTGCATACACACTTGGAATAAAAAGCCTTAGATAACCACCCCTGAAAAAGCTGAAGTTACAGAGGCCCAGATCCCATAGATTCAGAGTACGAAGCTTCTGTGACTCTCGACTAAACCATTAAACGAGGTTGAAACAGGCATATGTTTAAATCTCCCAATACCACAAACAAGCTGGCCCACTTCACTAGGAAACCCTGGTGGTATAGACTAGAGGACTAGAGGAAGGAGGAGTCCAAAAACAAATAGAAAATCACCTGAGAGGAGTTTCTAGAGCTCTGTGACACTTACGAGTTCTGTGACAAAGAAAGAGAGGCCTCACTTACTCCAGTTCAGTTCACAGACTGCTGATTTATTACCATTTCGGAGAGTCCTATCAGTGGATGCTGGAGCCACCCTCAACTTGCTAACGCTAGAGGGGTGGTCCCAGCTAGAAGCCATAAAGTGTGAAGTGTTACATGATGGATAGGTAGTGGAGGATGTGGGCGGGGGTCCAGAGAGGATGCTCTGGGCAAACAGCATGCTCGGTATTGCATGCAGAAGCAGCAGGTCTGCACAAGAGACCTGCACCTTGCATGAAGTCTGCTGGACAGCCTGGGAAAAGTGCCATTTATTGCACTGCTGCGCTGCCGCAGCACCCGAGGCCTTGTGCAACACTTGCCAGTGAGAACGCACTGGTCACCAGGGCTGGAACAACTGAACGCCACCAGCTCACCCAAACTGGTCAGCAGCTTAATTTGGTAAGCGACTCAAGTAAAAAGATGCTGCCTGAAAAAGAAGACTCTAAATTCCAGTTCTTGATGTTTGTACTGTAGGATGATGTCTGTCGTGGACTTCTTGCCTCTCAGGGGACAACAGCGAGGGGCAATACCCCCGGCTACATCAATTCAAATGAAAAGGCAGGCTTTTGGTCTTCTCACTTGAGCCCTTGCAGTCTTTGACAGAATACACACACACACACCCCGAGTGGGATGGCACACACTATACACTGGCAACAGCCTCACTCTTATGGGGGACCTGTACAGAGGAAAACAACTGTCCTTTGCACCACAGAATATCACAGGGATTTTACTGGCCAGAAAATAACGTTTTTGCAGGATGAATTCTTGTCAAGTTTCAGTCTACACAGATACATAAGGCCTTCACAGGCAAAAATCACCTGCGCTCTCCCCCCATGAGTTTAAAACAAGGTAGTGTTCGCACTCAGAACACCACATCCTGCAGTGAGGGCCACATGTTGCTCATGAACACACACCCACAGAACGAATGCACAGGTCAGTTGTCTTACACAGAGCCAGGATACTGGCACGCCCAGCTCAGTGCCGTATTTCTGGCTGGCTGCAGCTCCCCAAGAATTCTGGCTGAAAGACCTAGATTCGAGTTCCACAGCACCTTAGAGATCAACAAGATTTTGGGGTCTCCCTTCGTCAGGCAACTGACCCTCGAAAACTCAATACTCCAAGAAGTCTTTTGAGCCCTCCTGGACTCAAATCCAGCTGTTCTGCTGCAGACCAACACAAGTAGCCTCTGAAACTGGCTGGAAAAGGCCTTTTCCCAACAGAGTATCCCAGATCCTTTAACAGGAATGGCGGAAGATTCAACCTGGGACCTTCGGCCCACAAAGCATGACCTCCACTGAGCCCGGGGCCCCTCTCCTGTACATCCATCGTCTGCAAGTGTGTGTTCCACTCAGTATCGACAATGGGGCCAGTTCCTTTATACAAAATCCACACCACTAATAGCTGAGAGATTAACTAGGAACAAATAAGTATGGGACTCTGATAAATGCCTCCTTGAAAGAGGGGTTAAAGCCTATTCCTAACAGCAGAATCAGAAAGCTGCCTTATTCGAGTTCCATAATGTTTTTGCCCAGCTCTCTGGTCATGTCAACGGGACAGATTTCTGATGGGCCAGGATCTCCTGCTCATACCTGTTATGTAACTTGCAGATACAACTGAGTTCTGACAGCAGGAAAATAGGATGAGAAGCTTCCATCTCTGTACACAGCAGGAGCCTGGTCTCTCCAATGAAACCCACTCCTTTCTGACCACAATGTGTGTAATTAAATTTCAAAGCTGCCTAATCTCCAGCAGCCTGAAGATAATTGCCGTTTGCAATTAGCACAATACCTAATACCGGACTGAAACCCAAACAGGGGCTGAAAATCCAAGCTTAAGCGCTGCTCTTTAAAGCCAACCTGAACAGAAAATTAAATCACTTTGAGATTTTTCGGGGATCAGGATTTCTGGTCGGGATTGCTTGCTCCATTCCAGGATCGCAAGGATTAATGGTAGAAAGGGGAGGATAAGAAGAGAGGAAGAAGAGGAAGAGAAGGAATTGGGTTTGTACCCCGCCCTTCACTACCCTAAGGAGTCTCAGAGCGTCTTACAAACTCCTTTCCCTTCTCCTCCCCACAATAGACTCCCTGGGAGGTAGGTGGGGCTGTGAGAGCTCTGACAGAAACTGCTCTTTTTTCAAGGACCACTCTGACAGAACTACAGCTTGTCCAAGGTCATCCAGCAGAGGCAAGTGGAGGAGGAGTGGGGGAATCAAACCCGGTTCTCCCAGATTAGAGTCCACGCCAGTGTTCCCTCAAAGCTGTTCGTGTGAGCCTCTGGCTCACCCATTTTTGTCTTGGCTCAGGAAGGATGGCTCCAGAGCAAACTAATTTGTGTAGTGGCAAATCGCTCGCTCACTACTTTAATGCCAGTAGCTCACCAAGTAGAATTTTTGCTCACATGACTCCACAGCTTAGAGGGAACATTGCCACGCACTTAACCACTACACCAAACTGGCTCTGCTTTTAGGGAGCCAGGTACAGTACAACACACACACACAAAAAACCCAGTTCACCAGAAATTCCGAATAATTTCTAATCCTTCATTAGGTTTAAAGTTTCTATTCTGCATCTTGACCTACATGCCCTCAAAGCAACGAATCACAGAAAAATGACAACAGAATTGAGTATCAAGTGGGGGTGGGAGGAGATATCTCACAAAGGGTTTATGCTCTTGGCCTCCCCACAGGGAATTGACACGTTAGTCGGTCAATTCCTGCCATGAAGAGCAGCTTAGTCAGGGTAAGAATAGATTTGCTACAGATTCAAAGGGAGAATCAGCGATTTATACCAGCTGCTAGCAATGCCACCCTGGGCAAAACAAGTTTTCACCAATACAACTGTATTTCAAGTGTCGCTTACATCACTATGCTACTAATCAAACACCCTCTTTCCAACTACAATTAGATCTCTGGAAGTGGCTGTGATTCAGTGATAAAGAAGCAGCCCCCAGATGCTCGTCCTTAAAAAGAAAAAGCCAGATAACTTACATGACATAAGTTTTGCTCGTGGATTTCACTCCGCCAATGGGAATTCTTCTGACAATAACAGACGAGTTCTTGGGAATCAGGGCATTGTCATCCGTATATTCTGGAGGCGGGGGAGAGAGAGAGAAACCACATTAAAAGGAGCCAAGGTGGAATTTCTCCTACTCTTTCACTTACTCCAGAGCCCCATCGACAGTTTGCTCCATTGTCACCAAGGCAGCTATTGGTGCAAGCTGAAGTTGATTTCCTGGATCTTTATATAATGTTTTCCTGGATCTTTATATGTAAATAATGAAGTTTTAGTACAAAAGCTATTTAAAACATGAAATATAGCCTGAAACCCTCTACAAGTGGAAACAATGATGACTGTTTGTTTTATGGCTTGTTGACAAAGAGACAGGCATTTCCTGATAACAATCCCTGCATTTTACTTTACTGAACTAGTTTACTGGCGGACAATCATTCCGGAATAAAAATTTCATAGGATACCTACTGAAGTAGAGGAAAAAAATTATGCGGGGGAAGGTATTTTTGCAGGTCTGCTGTATGTATAGTGAACAGCCTGACATTTTATATCGCAGCAGGATTTATAATACACATTTCAACTACAACCTCATTTTTTCTGGATGCCTTTAAGGCAGCCTTTTAGGCATAAGAAAAATACACTATTTAACTAGGCTTTGATGTTGTATAGATTCCCCCCCCGCCGCTTTTGTCCGGTGATTGCTTTGTGTTCATTTTGACATTTCTATTTGTGGTGCATTTTCAGACACTGTTGCAGGAAGGACACAAATAAATACTGCAGGGTTTTTTTTTTCCATCGTACCCTGTGGCTGTGTGTGTGATTTGTTTGAATTTGGCTGCTGACTGATGTTATTGATAGCCTTGATGAATTTAATCAGAAGAAAAGATATAAATATTTTAACAAGAACTTTGAATCTACATAAAGATTTCTGCATTTTGTGAAGTGTCCGAGGAACGTGAGGACCGTAACCACTGGGTGACAATTACTGGGAAAAAATTGCTGTCTTTTCTCAGAAAGCTTCCAACTATAACTGTAGCTTCCACTTTAGCCACAAACAAAAAAGCTGATGGTTCTTTCTTTAGTTCCACAGACGCTCACCCTCTGTCCATGTCTGTCCACCATATTTTCCCACTGGTTCCTAAACTGTTTTCCTAGATTAAGCTGTTCAAGATTCTGGTTTTAACATTATGGGCCTTATCTGGTATGACTGTTTATATTCCTATTTTACACTTTTATCTTGTGTATGGAAGACATTTTGAAAGCATTGTTTTTTTTGGGGAGGGGGGTTCATTTGTTTTTAGAAAGAAAGATATAGGCATATATACACACAAAAGGGTTTTCTATTAAACTAACTTCAATACATTAGACACCATGCTAATTCCTAATTATAACTGGATGTTTATGGTTAGAACACAGTCATAATGGTTACTTAAAACTGAACTGAATGGACTGGCACTTCTAAAACTGGTCTTTAAACAGCATCTGTCCATAGGAGGAACGTAGGTTTCCCCATATCAATTGGCCACAATTTAAAAGTAACCTCTTATGGGAGAAATTCTAATAGCTTCAGAAATGACACAACCATAATTAAACTGTAGAACAGAAGCCCTGGGTTCTCTCAGATATCTGAGAATTTCTGATCCAGACAACTTTCTGAATGGCGACACCTGTAAAACTGAAAAATGCTTTGCGGAAAACAGTCCAAATGAGTTTCTTTTAAGAGAGCCCTTGCATTATGTTTTGTTTTACCTTTAGCTTGTTGCTCCAAATAACCTTTGAACAATTGCTGACCTTCTTGTGAACTACAGGCACACTTCTCAAAGTTAATACATGTTAGACTTGTATAGCTGTACCCAGGTTTTAAAACAGGGGTGGCAAACATGCGGCCCAGGGGCTGGATGAGGCCCCCGGAGGGCTTCCATCAGGCCCACAGTGGAACTGGCCGTCTCCTGCTTCCAGTTCTGCTGCTGCTGCTGCATCATAGCTTGCTTTGCCAGACTCTCTCAATCGCTCAGCTATTTCACGTTTTAACCTGGGTCCTAGACTCAGACCTCTGAGCATGAGATTTCTGTGGTGAATGTCAATAAATCAAAAGCAGGTTTGCAGCTCACAGATACACGCTTGAACAGCATACTCAAGATTGCAACAGCACAGACATTCTGATGCAATAATTCAGAACAAGAGGTGTCAGTTATCAGATACTGTTAAATAAACAAAATATTGCAAGAGTGCTAATGTTTTAAGCATGTTTTTATTTTAAGTAAAAAAAAACCCCTTTGTGTTTGTGTCCTTTATAAAGTTTGTATCTCCGCTACCTGGCATTACCTTTTAAGACACACATGGCCTGGCCCAACAAGATCTCATTTATGTCAAATCCTGCCCTCATAACAAATGAGTTCAACACCCCTGTTTTAAAAGGAGGCTTAGGAACTTGGAAAGGCTTGTGAAGCATCTAGATTTCCCCAGGAACGCAATTACATGACCCAGGATGCCTTGGCAGCCCTTTCCTAGTAGCTCATGGCATGAATGAAGTGATGCAAATCCACACGCTCATCACTACTGAAAGGTACAGGACAATGGCAGGAAAGGGCAGCAACCACAGAAAACACCTGCATCTCTTCTCTGCAGGAGAGAAAGCATAATGCAAAACCAAGGTGATGAAAAGGAACAGCACAGACTGCAGGTACTTGGGGTGGATTGCCCTCCTCTCATGTCTGCTAGTGACTAAGAGGCACGGAATGCCATAAGTGCAGGACAAGCTGCTGGAACCCTGTTGACTAACAGGCATTGAACCAATTTCCTGATCTCGTGATGACAAGCCTAACCTATCCTAATGGACAATCTGCCATTTTCCGTGAGGACTGGGCCTTTTTTGCCAGTTACACTGAAGTTCGGCATCTCCCAGACATGTTCTCCTCCAAGGTTATCTCTCTCCACCTAAAAATCTCACCCCAAGTTGTTCAGCCTGTTCGCTGACCTTGAGGCAAAGCCCAAGAAATAAAACTTAGGTGCTCCTTCTCCTACAGTCCCCTCAAGCGCCTCTGAAACACATTGCATAACCAGGCAGGGCAAATCATTTCTGCATCCACCAGAGTTCCACTCCACGGTTTGGTGTCCCAGTCACCAGCAGCTTGTTCTACTAGTGAATGCTGTTTTAGTAAGACACGTGCTCAAAAATGCCAAGCTTGACACAGAGAGTACGCCTGGGTTATACCTCTGAGGATGCCAGTCACAGCTACTGGCAAAACGTCAGATCCTACAATGCCAAGACCACGGCCATACAACCTGGAAAATCTACAATAGCTAATGAACTCGTGAAAACCTTCGACAACATATCACACAAAACAGTCAAATTTGGGGACTGTCAAAACTTCTCCAAGTCATGCCCCGTAAAGCTCAGGAAACTGTTGTTGCCCCAGCTCCGTCATCTGTCATAGGCTGGCCACATAAACAATTATAAGGGAGACAGAGAGATTCAGAGAGTATCTACTACCCTACATGATGATGCACGTACCAGCTGCAAAAATCATAGTAAGAGCCTACCACAACAAGCTCACTCACGCAGAAATCCAGCGCACATGCTGTACCATATAATCAGACATCGGAAAACATGTTCTATGAAATTTTATGCAAGTTCATAAATGAGGAAGCCACCATGGCGATTAGCAACGGCATAACCACTTAAGCGACAGTTGAAAATGTGGTACAGCCGGAAGTTAGGAGACAACACACCTGGGGACAGCTCATGGCTCAGCTATGCAGTTTCCTGCGTTCTTCCTCTGATACATCTCTTAATAAGCACCACGCCAGACGACATTCTGGGTAAATCAGGCCACTGGCCGAGACCATCCGACACAGTGGTTCAGGGCCTAGAAGTGGGTCACCCGCTCACTTGTGACAAAGTAGGCTGTGTGAGGCCAGGAGGGAGGGTAGAACAAAAGGTGCTCAGAGAGGAGGGGATGGTACATCTGGGTTCACCTTGGCATGATAACGTACAAAATGGTACACTAAAGTGGGCCCCAAAAGGGACAATAAGCTTAGAAACGGGTCTTCAGAATATGACTGAGTGACGACTGAGGAGTGACATGATCGAGGTTTATAAGATTATGCATGGGAAAGAGCAGGTAGAGAAAGCGGTACTTTTCTCCCTTTCTCACAATACAAGAACTCATGGGCACTCCATGAAACTGCAGAGCGGTCGGGTTAGAACGGATAGAAGGAAGTACTTCTTCACCCAAAGAGTGATTAACACATGGAATTCACTGCCCCAGGAAGTGGTGGCGGCTACAAGCATGGACGGCTTCAAAAGGGAATTAGATAAGCATATGGAGCAGAGGTCCATCAGTGGCTATTAGCCACAAGGTATAGATAGGGACTCTGGGGCAAGGGATGCTCTGTCATCTTGGTGCTTGGGGGGGTCAACAGTGGGAGGGCTTCTAATGTCCTGGCCCCACTGGTGGACCTCCTGATGGCACTGGTATTTCTGGGCCACTGTGTGACACAGAGTGTTGGACTGGATGGGCCTTTGGCCTGATCCAACATTGGCGTCTCTTATGTTCTTATGACAGCACTTCTGGTTGAGCCGCCCTAAAAGTGGAGAGCTCCAACAGCCCGAGTTGATGAATCTGGACACTTCTCACTCAACTGTGGACAAGTACAAGCCTGGATTCTTTTGCTGAGGCCCTCTGAGCACACAGCCGTCTGGCAACACACCGCGAATGTGAAGCCAAGCCTGGTGACACCTTCATTATTATTAATAACTGTATTCTAACACAAGGTTTTGCGAGTTAGGGCCCACTCCACCACACAAGTAAAAGTGTGCACGTACAATATATATTTCACACTGGAGTTCCTCCTTTGGAAGTAATGGAGACATTCATGTCAGCATCATTGTTTCCTGGGCGGCACCTCTCAGGCCTTCCTGCCTCTCTTGCTCACTCAAGTCAACCAAAGGCACACTTCGTGCATCCAGTCCACAAAAGCTCATGCCACAATAAATCTGTCAGCCTTTGAAGTGACCCAGGACTCTGTGTGCAGACTATAATTACACCTGCAATCGCTTGCTGCAGCCCAAGCAATGACCGTGTCCTGTCAGGAATGAGTGGCGTCCCAATTCACCCCACCCTGGCTGCCATTGTTTTATTCCACTAAACAGAGTAGCAGCACAAGAATTCTGGGTGCCAGTCCAGCACTGCATCAGGAAACCATACCGCAACGGGTTCAAAGGGAAACTTTGTTCCGCTGCTTCTGACCAACACCGCTACCCACCTGATTTAAGGTTCAAGGGTTGTGCCTTGTAAGTTAGAACACCGGCAAGTTGACACTTTATTCAGTCTTTAACTAAACGGGCTCTGTGGGGTCCAATAGATCATAAACGTAATTTTTTGATCTGATGAAGTACACAAAAGCTTATACCCAGAATTACACTTTGTTGGTCTTAAAGGTGTCACTGGACACAAACCTTGTTCTGCTGCTTCAGACCAACATGGCTACCCGCCTTTCATAGAAACTTGTCACCACTGCTGCCATGTGTTTTATTTCCTTCTGTTAGGGGGTTGCAGGTGTTTTTTTTTAAAAAACCAGACATAACATAACACATCACTATCATCTTCCTGCAAAGTGGTCCACATCTGGTTTCAGCCATAAATTCACCAGGCTGTCTTACAAGCCCCACCACACATCACCACTGAAGCCCCAGCCTTTTACCTTCCCAGCCCTCGGGACAGGGGCTCTCTCTTGGGCTTATGTTACTGCCCAGAACACCACGGATTCTGGTGGAGGAAGGAGCCAATGGGACAAATCTGACCCTCCCAACACCACACTATGATCTGAGGCACTGTCCCTGGTGGCTCCAGCTCCTGGGAACAGGCTTCCGGTTACAAGGAAGAACTGCTCTGTTTGTTTTGAGGAGCGTGCAGCCTGCCCTGTCCCAGGGGGGCCTATGGCTGAAATTGCAACTGCTTGTACTGAATACTGACTACTGCTGTGATGTGGTTTCACGTCCATGCTATTATGCATGCATTTGAGTGTGGTCCCTAGGCTGCCCTGGGCCTGTGATGTTTGGGAAAGTTGTTAAGAAAATATTTCAGTAATTAAAGGAATGTCTTTTCAGAGGAATACCCTTGTTAGCTTGTCGCAGCTAAATCAAATAACCCAAAGGCACCAAACAGGTTAAAAAGATAAGCTTTTGTGAGGCAGAGGGATCCCTTCATCAGATGCAGGGCAACATCCCCATGGTATAAGCAACAAGAAAGTAGGAGAGCTTACAAAAAAAAAAAAGAAAAGGCAATTGGAACTGAGTCAACTGTTTTTGGTTATATTATTCCTAAGAGGCCTCTTTTTTATTTTATTTTATTTATTTTGCGATTTATATCCCGCCCTACCCTTACGGCCCAGGGCCTTTGTAACATACCCATCCTCCCACTTTTCTGTTGCTTGTAGCTTTAAATGCATCTCCATGCATCAACAAGTGAAGCAAGCTCTGACTCACAAAAGTTTATTGCTGAAATAAAATTTTGTTATTTCTTTACAGCACTGCTAAACTATTTGATTCAAATGAATACAATGCTAGAGACACCTGTTGTCACCATCATGCCTGAATCTCTTCCCTCTTGCTACAAGAGTCCTTTGGAAAGCCTGGGGCAGAGAACACAACTAGAGCCAATGCAGCGTAGCACAACCAGGCTGGGATTGGGGTTCAAGAACACCCACTTTAACACAGGGTTAGCTAAGTGACCTTGCGCCAGCCTAACCCACATCTGACAAAGATGTGACTCATACAAGTTCACGCCCCACAAAAATTTCATTCATCTCTCAGGTGCTTCAGCCCTGACCTAGACAGCCCAGGTTAGCTCAATCTTGGAAGCCAAGCACAGTTGGCCTGACTTGGCATTTGGATGGGAAATCTCCAAGGAAGTCCAGGGTTGTGACATAGAGGAAACCAGTGGGGAAACACCTCTGAATGTCTCCTGCCCTGTTCGATCTTGGAAGCTAAGTAGGGCCAGCCCTGGTTAGTATTTGGATGGAAGACCACACGCTCCCTCTAAGCTGTGGAGTCTTGTGAGCAAAAATTCTACTTTGTGAGCGACTGGCATTAAAGTTGTGAGCAAGTGACTTGGCTGCTGCATAACTTAGTTTGCTCTGGAGCCATCCTTCCTGAGCGAAGACAAAAATGTGTGAGACAGAGGCTAAAAAACTGTGAGCTAGCTCACACTAAATCAGCTTAGAGGGAACACTGGTGAGCCCACAGCTGCTACAGAGGAAGGCAGCGATAACCCACCTCTGAATGTCTCCTGCCCTGACCTGGGGCTCAGGAAGGATGGCTCCATAGCAAACTAATTTATGCAGCAGCCAAATTGCTGGCTCACAACTTCAATGCCAGTCGCTCACAAAGTAGAATTTTTGCTCACAAGACTCCACAGGTTAGAGGAAGCATTGTGGCCATGACCAGTGTTCCCTCTAAGCTGAGTTAGTGTGAGCTAGCCCAGTTTTTTAGCCTCCAGCTTTTGTCCTAGCTCAAGGAGGATGGCTCCTGAGCAAACTAATTTCTGCAGTAGCCAAATTGCTCACTCACAACTTTAATGTCGGTAGCTCACAAAGTAAAACTGTTGCTCACAAGGCTCCACAATTTAGAGGGAGCATTGGATGGGAGACCATCCAGAAAGCCCAGAGTTGCTATGCAGAGGCAGGCAGTTGGGAAACCCACCTCTGAACGCCTCTTTCCTTTGAAAACCCAACCAGGTCGCCAAAGCCATCTGCGCCTGCAGGGCAAACTAGGCCAACAAGGGTGGCTTCCGGATTCAAATCCAGCCCCTCCCACCCGCAGACCCACCTGGCTACCCTCCTGATAAGCTGATCAAATCATGCCTGGGTAAGGGGCTCTCGCTGTGATTGTGTGTCTTGAAGGCGGGAATTCTTAGGTGCATCAACTGCCGCTGGCCCCCTCGAGGGACCCCAACACCACCAATGCTCCCTCTAAGCTGCGGAGTCTTGTGAGCTAAAATTCTGCTCTGTGAGCTGCTGGCATTAAAGTTGTGAGCAAGCAATTTGGTTGCTTCATCAATAAGTTTGCTCCAGAGCCATCCTTCCTTAGCTAGGACAGAAATGGGTGATCCAGAGGCTAAAAAACTGCGAGCTAGCTCACACTAACTCAGCTTAGAGGGAACACTGCCTGGGACCAATGCTCCCTCTAAGCTGCCGAGTCTCTCGTGAGCAAAAATTCTCCTTAACGTGGTGAGTGAGCGATTGGGCCACTGCATCAATTTAGTTTGCTCTGGAGCCCTCCTTCCTGAGCCAAGACCAAAATGTGTGAGCCAGACGCTAAAAAACTGCAAGCTAGCTCACACTAACTCAGTATAGAGGGAGCACTAGCACACTGCTCCCTCTAAGCTGTGGAGTCTTGGGCACTGTTCCCTCTAAACTGAGCTAGTGTGAGCTAGCTCACAGTTTTTAGCTTCCAGCTCACACATTTTTCTCTTAGCTCAAGGAGGATGGTTCCAGAGCAAACTAATTTATGCAGTAGCCAAATCCCTCACTCACAACTTTAATGCCAGTAGCTCACAAAGTAGAATTTTTGCTACAGACTACAAAGCTTAGAGGGAACATTGTTTGGGAGCAAAAACTTCTACTTTGTGAGCTGCTGGCATTAAAGTTGGGAGCGAGCGATTTGGCTGCTGCATAAATCAGTTTGCTCTGGAGCCCTCCCTTCCTGAGTGTGGACAAAAAAATGCGTGAGCCAGAGGCTAAAAAACTGTGAGCTGGCTCACACCAACTCAGCTTGGAAGCAACGCTGCGCAACCCCCCAATCCGGGGGTATGAACTCAAGAGACAAAAGTTTGTAAAGCTTTAAAGACACTCCCAGCTTCCCCCCACCCCCCAATCCAGCGCCTGAAATGAAGGGGGATGTTCTGGGGACTTCAAACCGCGGGGAGAGACGCCCGCCCGGCCCCCATCTCCCCCAGTAGGGTTGCCAGGTCTGGTTTGGAAAGAGAGGAGGGGCCTCAACGTGGCCCGATGCCACATAGAGGCCACCCTCCAGAGCGGCCGTTTTCCTCCTCAAGGGGAGCTGATCTGTGTCAGCAAGAGATCGGTTGCAGAAGCGGGGGAGATCCCCAGGCCCCGCCTGGAGGTCTGACAACCCCAACGCCCCCGCCCCGCAGCCTCCCCCCCGCCCCGCAGCGCCGCCGCACCTTCCTTGGTCTGGGCGTTGGTGATCTGGAGGTCGCAGTCGGCGGCCTTGAGCTTCTCGCGGCCCATGATCTGGCGCTTGAGGTCGCAGAGCGAGATGTGGAGCCCGTCGAAGGTGACCGTGTCATAGTTGAGCTTCGAGGAGAACTTGTAGTGCACGCACGACATCCTCGCGGCCCGGGACCCCCGCGAGCCCCCCGGCCAGGCCGCGCCCTCGTCCGCCGCCGCCTCACAGGCCGCGCCGACCCGCCATCCGGGGAACGGAAGCCGACGACGAGAAGGACGACTCCCCCGTCAGGCCCGCTAGGCCGCCATCATGGCGGAGGGGAGGGCCCCGGCGCGCGCCTTCGTGCCT